CCAGCAAAAAGTAATCAGATTATCCTCATCCTTAAAAGTTAAGTGCTTTTCTGGAGCAAGATCTGCATAAGAGGAAAAAGGGCCAAGTCTACCCAGCTGCAAGCCTAGCGAGCTTACTCCAGGTTTGAATCTGGTCCAGGAAAGATAAATGGCTGCATATCCATAATTTACAGGACTATAAATATGAAGAACACTGCTGATGTCTGGAGTGCGCGGGCCTTCATCAGGTAACATTTCCACTGGCTATGAGATGAGTGGCTTTTCAAAAAGGACTACAGGACTGAGCTGTCACAGCTTATTTTAGTTTTATCCTCAAAACCCCTATGTCCCAGTTACTATCAGTTTTCCCGCTGACAGTTTTTAGTTTATCTAAGCAGCACTCTTTTCTTACATGGTATAACTGTACCAGCTTTAGAGTTCGAAAGATTGAGTACTGTCTATTGTGTTATCCACAAGAGTCTTTGCACTGGACCCTTTATTGAGATCACTAAGGGCTAAATTTTGGCCTGACCTATTCAGTTGCTGGGCTCACAAAAGAAGCATGGCACCTGGAGGGAAAGACAGAAGAGTGGCAAAAAGGCATGTAATATTTTAAGCTCATTCATGGTCTGAAGTTACTAAATCTTAATGAGTTAATGACTGTTTTGGTTTCAGTTCTTGGCATGCTCAAACTGTGCCTCCAAAAGAGAACATAAGAGGTCAAGAACCTAGGCATTACTTCATTATACAAATGAAGTTTTAAAAAGTCCAGGGCTTTTATTCTGAAACTTATTATGCATTCTTTATTTTGGCAGGTCTGAAATAAACCAGCAAACATACTAATGAAGACAAGAACTGTCCTGAGGAAATACCTCCTATTAGTTAATAAGCAGACACAGTGGCCTGGATTAGGAAGAAACATGACAACATTGTTGAAAATGAAGACGTGTATCCTAAGTGAAGCCAATGGGTTCACAGAAGCCAGGGCTGTGTAACCTGCTGCAGCGCATCAGGATTCCAGCAGAGGAAATGAACATTACACATGGTGAGAACAGTAATACACCAGGGCGAGATAAATTTACTTAACTGCACTTCATCTTAGAAATTTTGAAGTAGCGTTTCTGTACTGAGAGAGATGCCAGAAGATCAGCTGCCCAATGCAATGCTGCCTTCTAAATGGAACGATGATTGTCAGCTCTCTGGTTCACTAACTTTTATCTTTGCTGATAAATGAACATTAAGTGGTCAGTTGTTGACAAAAACTCTCTTTTTAATTGGATATGTGAACTGGACCTTACATAACCCGGCAATGTACTATCATCCCTGGACCTTGTCACTTAGATAAAACCATCTTGGCTTCCTCTGGAATGTGGGTGTTCAGTGCCTACATTTTTGCTATTTGGAGGGGAAGATCACAGGCATATATGCTATGATATAAAGAGATAAAATATTCTAAGGTTTTGTTTCAGTAGAAATTTGCCCAGAATAGGTTAAAACTTAAACAGGGGAAGTTTAGACTGGATATTAGAAGGGAAGTTCTTTATTGTTAGGGTGGTGAGGCACTGGAATGGGTTGCCCAGGGAAGTTGTGAATGCTCCATCCCTGGCAGTGTTCAAGGCCAGGTTGTACAGAGCCTTGGGTGGCATGGTTTAGTGTGAGGTGTCCCTGCCCAGGGCAGGGGGGTTGGAACTGATGATCATAAGGTTCTTTCCAACCCTAACTATTCTATGATTCTATGATAACTGAGGAACTCATATTTGAACTCAATTAGATAAATTTGCATATCTCCCACACTGTCCCATTGGAACTGATTTGTCCATAGGTCGGAGGAAGATCTGACTAAGCACACTGAGAGGTTATTTGTAAGAAACCAGGGAAAGGCCAAGAAGCCCCTTAGCTGAGGAACACATCTGTCACTCAATCTCTCCATGGGCCTTCTGGGAAAAAGAAGTTCAAGATGTCACTAAAGAAACTGTACCAACAGCTGCCCAGTCTTTCTTCATTCATGTAGTAGAAGGAACTTGCCAGCATTGTGTCTTTTTTGAACAGAGCTCCAAGATACATTCTAAGAGAATGTCAGCTGTTATGAAAGCTAGAGTTCATGAACTGCATATTTTTCCTTCCTTTTTGTTTTGTCTTCTGGATTTCTTTTCAGCTGTTGATTCATCCCTAGCTGGGAAATCTCCCAGTCTTTCTAAATACTTAAATTTTTGTTGTGGAATTGCTGCAGGTCTGTATGAGGGTCAGTCAAAGTCCCCATCACAACAGATAATACTGCAGACACTCCTCTGTCAGACTCTGAACAACTTCAGCTGCTCCCTACAGAGATGACAGTTCCAACCCAGTCCTAATTCTTCACCATCACCCCACTGCTAGCAGTGCTCAGTCCTACACAGAAGGTGGCAGACTGTCCAGTGACCTCTTCTCACCCAGAACTACCTAGGATGGGCAAAATAAACTGGTAGTTTCACATATACGTCATTGCTAACTTAGTCCATTTCATGGGAAGTACCCACACAAAATGGGTCACCAGAAGACCTGAAAGAATCATACCATCTAACAGAAGAATAGTAATGAGCAGCTGTGGGACAGCAAGGGCAGATCCCACCTCCTTCAACATATCTGGAATTGGCAAGGACCTATGTCCGTGACTGAATTGTGTCTGTGTTTTGAAACAATCTTAAGCATTCACTAGAGGCAGGGGTAGCTCAGCCTGCCCCTCACTCAAAACATGCTGTTACCTTCTCATGCCTCAGAATGATGCTCTTGGGATTCTTGGTCCTCTATCTGTAAGATATACTTCACAAGAAAGACTGAAATAGGACCTGGTTTATGGTTTGTGTTAACAGTCCATGGAAAGACAGCTTTTGGGAAAGAAAAGATACCCCATTCTGCTCATCAGGAGTGCTCTCCTGGTGTCTGTTGTGTAATACCACTGCTTGATGCGGTTCCAGGAGGCAAAATCCTCATAACCAGAACAGAGTTCAAAAAAGGGAGGCTGATAATTGGCCTAGTCTTGATTTGATAGCTGCATTGCTTAATTCCTAATTTATTTTGATGTTAGTTTTAATAGCTCAAACTGCTTGATAGTCTGGGGCTTCTTTGCAGGGTGTTGATGGATTTAAGTTGTTGGGGTTTTCTTTTCGTTCTTTTTATCTATTTTGTTATGTTTCAGTTTGTTTAACTAACATAATAAAGTTATTAATAAAGTTAAATCATTTCTGTCATTGAACAAAACAATCCAGAACCTTTAAAGAACTGAGTAGCTATCATCCAGCCAACTTAAAAGCCTATATTTAAATCTTAGTTCGTAAACTCTTTTAAATCACATGTTCTTACATGTTCTGTTGCTTTAAAGTTGTTTCCTTTGAAACTTTCCTTTTATGCTTTCATGCAGGAAACACGATAAACTTGTTTATTTTATTTGTCAGTTTTGTGTTTCTGAATTTCTTCATCAAATCTGTTATCTTCCTTAAGTATCCAATCCTTGCCCAAGTTATGTGCAGAGAAAGGAATGGTTTTACTGCTGTACTTGCAGTGCTGGAAAGTATGACAAGAAAGGAGCAAGCAGAGGTGCTGGCTTCTGAGAACTACAGTAAAAAGAAGATATTAAATGGGCATTTTATTTTGGAGACAATCCTGCAGGATGAGAAGGCTGAATATTTTTAGGATCATGGGATAATTCAGTTGGAACAGACTTCCAGAGGTCAAATGGTTCAACTTTTCCTGTCCAGTGACGCATCACAGTCAAATACCTGCTTATCACTTACTTCTTTTCTTGGCTTTTTGTTTTCTTAGTTAACTCTGCCTTCTCTCACTTTTAATTTGAAGTGGCTTTTGCGAGTCATTATTATTTGCATAACAGGGATACATTTTATTTATCAGTGAATTGGAAGCAGCTCATTAAAAATAATAAATCTGTAGGCTTGAGATCTGCTGAAATAGAGCAATAGGACTAATTTTTTTAGATGCGTCTCTGAAGGGAACCCTAAAATGTGTGGAAGCCTCTCTTTTGACAAGCAGTGTGGAGTTTTGCAAATCCTTCAGCATTCACAGAGGGGAGGAGGGTGGTAGGACTCACACAGTAACAAGGCCAGCTGAAGAAGAGCAACAACAGCTTTTCACAGCTCCGGTTTGAAAGGGAGGGAAGGCTGGAAATCCCCAGGCTCTCTTCAAGTAGAAAGAGTTAGGTTAAGAAGAAGTAGACAATAACTGGTTGAGAAATATGCAATTTCCGGATGTTTTTATCATGCCATCATTCTTTAGCAATGAATCTGTCCCCTTACTGCCCTGAAGAGGGGGAGACATTTTGTGCTATGGAAATGCTAGTAGGGTTATTCACAATTTTTGTTCTTTGGAAAAGACAGAAAGTGCTATATATAGAATAAATTAAAAAAAATCCAGCCTTATTTGCTAATGCCTGTTTTTTACCAAGTATCCATGTCTTTTATTTTCCAAAGTCTGCTTTCCTGCTATCTTTTCTTCTGCTGTACTGCCCCTGCTGAGCTCTCAGAGATGAATACCAAGTTGTCTCCACTGTCATGAAAGTAGCAGGGAACAGGTACAAATGTAGTGTAATTAACTTCCTGAGCTCACTATTGGCCACTGCTAGGATGAAATCTCCCAGCAGGGCTGTGCTCAGGCAGTCCACAGGCAGATGAAAGGTACCAGAAGTATTCAACAACATACATTGACCCTCAGCTAGCTAGTGAAGCAAGGCTGTCAAGCAAAGCTGGGCAAACTGCACTCCCATCATTTTATTTTGTATTGTGCAGGTCAGCCTTGGTATTTCTGTTTATGTGGCTGCCAGCCAAAAGTGTTTTAAAAGCCTTTTCAGACTGTAGCAAGTTAAAATATTCCCTTCCTTTATTGAACTTGTGGGTCTAAGCAGACTCACCCTTTCTGTTTAGATGGCAGAAGTTTGGGATTAGGACGGCCCATTACCTTAGTGCTTGCACAGTTAATATCATAAATATATATTCATTAATGCCCAGAACTCTAAACACAGAACTGAGTCTGAATTTAATAATGGTTGTAACAGACTTTTAATTGTCATTAACCATGAGTATTTCTTTCTACCCTAAGTTTTCTTTCCCATGCAAAACATACATACATGTGGATGCATTTTTAAGGAGTTGGGAACTATTCAAAACAAAAGTTATTTTGAGGGTTAGGAAATAGCTTTCTTGCAGCTGCCAAGTGATTTTGGAATAACTCTTTGCATGATGGAGTGGAGGAAAAAATGGAGACAAAAACATCAGTCCTTCAGTTCAAGCAAGCAAGCAACCAAACAAGTTTTTCATCTTCTTATGCTTCTGCGACCAGACCCTTCTTTATTTTCCATTTTGAAGTTGGGCGGAGGAGCTCCAGCCACATTTTCCTGACTGTGCCCCTTGTCAGCTAGACAAAAAAAAGGCAGGCAGACCTTCTCCTGGATTTTCCCCTCCTCCACCTTCAGGAGGTTTGAAAGAGAGAAGGAACATGTTCAATGATGGGCATGTGGAAAAGTTATTAGTCACACTTAGATAAGCTTATAAATGTACAAAGTAGCTCTTAGGGCCAGACACAGGGTTGAGGTGAAACATCTGAACCTCATCCAAACCCAGGGACCTTCAGGTGGTGTAAATCAGATAACATGATGCATCGCATCTGAGGCCTCAGTGCCAGGATTCATCTCCACAGTCTGTAAAGATCCTGGCTTATATTTAGAATATTAGAAAATGTTCATAAATAGCTGAAATATGTGAGCACTGATTAACAGTGAAATGCAACTATCCCTTTGATTTATTTTGTGCTTGCTTTGTATTTTAAAACAAGAAAAAGGGATCTTTTTCTTTACCTTCAGCACACTTTGTTCTTTCACCAATAGGATAAGTAGCTATAAAATTGTTCACAGGGGCAACTGAGAGATGGAAATCCTTAGAATGGGCATGGCCATCCATAGTGAATGCCTGCTGTCTCCAGTCTTGCACAATATGAATGTTGCATACAGATGCTAAGTTTCTATAAGCCTTGATGCTGCTTTACCTTAACATTTTGGACTAAACTAGGGGGTAAAACAACAACCAAAGCAACCGATCTCTCTTCCTTTACTTTTCTTCTTCCTTTGAAAAGCAACAGGCATTTCTGAGAGAAGAAAGGATAAAACTTGTGCTTTGCGGTGCTTACCTGAGGCCATGCCAGCACGCTGGAACTTCCCCAGAATACTATTTTCATCTTAAAGCACCTGAAATTATAAAAGATTGGACATCAGTAGTTTTAATCAATACTATTACAATATAAAATTGTTAAAAGTCAAAGTCATGCCTTCTGTAAGTCTTTTGCTTTCCAGATATTATTATGAAAGCTGAACACAAAACCCCCCAAAATTACAATTTGCTGACTTTTTTACTTATCTCCCAAAATTATCCTTTTCCCCAAGACATCAGATTATACTTTCTGGAGGTGGATAGGGTGTAATATATTTAGGATGGTTAAGCTGAGCAATCCTGTGGACTGGTTAATTTTGAAATCTGTACTTAGGCAGTCAGAGAAATATTTTTTGAAAATACTCTCTTTCCCCCTCCCCAAACTTGGCAGGAAAATTAAGCTCTGGGATGAAGTTTATCAGTGTAAAGTTTACAATGTTTTATGAAGGAAAAAGGGAAGAGGAGGGAGGAGAAAGAGTATGGCACTGAAAGAAAAACAAGCAACCAAGCTTTTTAAAATTGCTAGAGTGTAAGATCAATGGCCACTGCTTCTTGGTCAAACAAACCAGCCTTCTCAGCTCCTTGATATCAGGGCACATAGCTTATGGTGAAATTAACTCCTTTGCCATTAACTGGGAAGAGCTTACTTGGATGTTGGTGTAAAGCAAAAGATCAGGGAGAAAAGACATTCTCCAAGAACGGAGGAACATTCACATAGGGTTTGTCCGGCAGAGAAATCTCACCAAGTCCCTGACATTGTCAGGACAGGGGGAAATACTATGCTGTGGGAAGCCTGCTGTGTGGCATTTCATGCTATCAAAATCAGTTCCTACATGTGAAATCCGACCTATGGCAGACAAAGCCTTGTCAGAAATTGTAGGGACCGTGAGGAGTCTCACCCAGGCCCTTTGTGCTACTTGCAGTGAAGCACTCCTAGCACTAGGAGCGGCAGCCTATTTTCAAAAATATCTGACAAGTTTCTTTTGCTCCCTGACAGTGAGCTGTACCCAACACTTCTGTCCTTCCCCTAGCTCCAAAGTCCTTTGTAACTTCTGATCAAAAAATATACATGTACCAAATGAAGCTCCTTTCCTCCCCTCAATGTGCAGGCATCCCACCCCAATTAATTAACCCAACAGTGGCTTCACCTCTAAAAAGCTGTGACTCCCCACACTTTATCCCCCTCATTCAGCTTAAAGACATCAGCACATTCCTGACCTCATCACTTGTTAACTCCCTTTTGCTAACAGCCGCTGCATCCTCTCTCACTGGCCTTCTCTGATTTGATATGACTTGAACACTCACGCAAATAGTCTTCAAATCTGTTTATATGCTTGATTGCTACAATGGTGTATGAAGACCTCTGAAGCTGTGGTTTAGCACAGCTTTGGTATCCAGAACTGGGGGCCTTTCAGATCTTCTCTGGCTGCGCTGCCATGCTGCTCATTTTGCAAGCAGCCGGTAAGGAGTAGTAAAGCCCGAGTGAGAGCAAGACCTCTGCTGTTTTGTGTTTGATTAGCAAAGGTTAACCCTTTGGCAAAGTGCCAGAGGATTTAATGAACGTGGCAACAGCATCATTATACAGGAACATCAAGTGAAAAATTTTCTTCAGCAGACATTAAAAAAAAAAAAAGAAAAAATTGCAATGTAGCAGCATGATACCACTCCAAACACTTAGCTGTGCTACCAAAGTCTAGACATTATGATACTTAAAATAAAAATAAATATCTGACTTAGTTAATTCTTTATTTATCTTTTAGAATAATAGAGGAAGTGTTTCAAGAATAAAGGGTTCTCCAGAGATCTTCTGCAACACTCCCCTAAGTACATACTCCGTTCAATCTGTTTCATTCCAGACACTCGTTCAACAAGGCCCTAAAAACCATCAGTGATGAGGATAGCCCAGTGTTCTTTTGACAGAATTCTCTCCTTTTCTTGAAATAGATTGCAAAGTGGCTAGCACTGCATTCAATAGAGAGACTTTAAGCTGTTTGCTCCAAGAAGCTAATGCGGAGGTAGACAGCAGCAATAGCTGTTCAGAGAAGAAATCTGGAGGACAAGAAGCCAGGAAACTCTAAACTCATCAAACATTGAAAAATCAAGTTGATAGTGTTCTACAAAATGTCAGGCATATCTAGCCTGGAAATCCAGAGGAAGCACTCAAATGTCTAGCTGTTCATTTGACCTCTTTGATTAAAAGTACTTAGGTGATCAGACAATAACAAGCATTCCCATAAGATTTATTTTAGCAATTTTCACATTCAATTATAATAAAAAATATTTCACCTGAAGTAATGCAAACTAAATTTCCTGAATTCAGGTATATTTTAAAGTAAAAATTAATTCTTGGTCATTTTCACACTATGCAAAAATATTCTAATCATTTTTTCAACTGGTATAGCTAAACATGTTGTGCTCTGACTTAATGTATATATGACATTATTCTAGCTGGTATTTTCATCTGTTCCCAGGAAAATCTGAAGTCAGCATTTGTTTCCAAATCAATAACCTTGAGTTAGCACAGCTATTCAGCCCCATAATCATTGAAAGCTGTACCTCAATATCTCTTCTTACAGAACTAATTAAAATCCGTTGAATAGATGACATTTTAAAGCTTTTGGTGGAGCTTATGTTTAATAGATATTTTAGTGCATGATCTGTTCCTCTCCAGACCAAATGGTGCACACTGCTCCAGTGCTTTTCATCACTTTCTGTGTCTGAAGGACTCCTCATTTCACAGCATCACCCACTGTATTTCTGGTCTCTCAATATTTATTGTCATTTTGCAGCTATTTATCATACTGATGTCACCAGATTAAGATTGATACTTTATTAGATTTTCTGTCTGCTGTGGGATCTCTATGCTGCTGGGCGGGCGGGGGGGGTGTTGCAAGACGACAAACTGACTCTGAATAGGATCACCTCAAGACATTCCCTTTCTTTCCTTTAAACCTTAATTTCTGCCAAGGGCTGGATTGGAAGGAGGAAGAAACACATATGGGAAAGCTAGCAGTCCTGACTGCTGGTTGCTAAGAAGCCTGCAGACAGCTGCAAATTAGAGCAGCCTCTGTGCTACATTTTACAGCCAATGCTCCTTTGAGCAAGTCAAAACCCAAAGGCGATGAGCAAGTCAAAACCTAAAGATGCTGCTCACTTTGGGTTGTGAAGAGAGGCATCACACAGCTTTAACCCAGAGATCCTGAGCAATTTTTTTTCTCCCTTCTTTCTAGACAAGCAATTGCCAGGGCAAAACTGTGAGGTCTGAATGATCAAAAATTTACACTTTTCAACCTGAAAGTCCCTCTGTTTCTAGCATCTGCTATGGCATTTCTCAGAAATTATTGCACTCGTGGTGCCACCAATTGTGACAGGAACTAGGACTGTGGTAACAAGTCAGCAGCTGCCATGCAGTCTGGGGAAAGCTTCTGAAATGGAAAAGGTATGTCCAGACTGAGGTCCACATCTCAGATCCTAAACACTAGTTGTCAGGTGTTGAACATGGATCAATTTTGTTTACACTCCAGGCAGCCAAGGCATTTACGCCTCCAGCCATCTCTCTTTTGAACTGCTGGGACATTCAGTTTTGTATGAAGAAAGAGCAGTTGCTAAAACCTTATTTTCATGTGACACTGCAGACAGGACCAGTCAGAAAGCTTTTACTGACAGGCATTTCACATCTGTAGAAAGAAAAGGGAACACATGCTTACAAAATGCCTATTACACTCTAGGTAGATTTTACCCTAAGAACGGTCCCTCACATTTGTATTTCCTTCTGCATCCTTTGAAACCAACACTAAAACTTCTAGCTAAGCTGCATACTGTTTGTAACCTGTTGTGTGCTTTCTGTCAGAAACAACTGGGCTCAACACTAAGAAAAGCTTTCAACGTATCTGTACCTAACACATCTGTTAGGAAGCAAAAGAGGAGTTTGACTGCTGATGGTCAGTTATGTTGCCTCTTCATTGAAAAATGTAATAATAACATAAACCAGTCCTGTTTAAACTCTTGTTTATAAAATTTAAGTAGTATTACATTTTTTTGAATATCTGGCCTAGAATAAGCATTAAAGTAGCTTTCATACAACTCATAATGCCAAAAAATAAATGCAATTCTGCACATTCTTTTCTGAGAGCATCCACAAATGACGTGCAAGGCATACACACTGGCTGGAGGCCATAAGCAAAAGCATTGTATTAAAACTTTGTATGACATCAAGCCAAAAAACTACTTAGCATTTGTATCAGATCTCAACTGAATTATGAATTAAATAACCAAATCAAAACAAAAAGCATAAAGCACACTATATCATACAACTTTGGTTATATACACATGCGTGTAAGTGATGTGGATCTGTGGTGATTGATATAACCTCAGTGTGTGTGTGCAGAGAGGAAAAAAATACTTGAAGGACTGTGCTCAGCACACAGCATGCGCCCTTTGCCAGCAAGTGGATGATATCCCAGATGGGCTCCCCCTGGTGTTGAGAAGGTAATGTATTTCCCCCTTATTTCTTTGTGTCCATCAATAACGGTGTTAAGAAGTGCCAGAACTAATCATGGTGTTATTATGGCAGAATTCCTTATTTCACATAGACCCTTACTGATGGGATAGTATAGCTTTTCTATTACCTCTCAACCAGCGTTCATGAATACTATATATGACATATGGATATATACACACACACACATATATATATGTGTGCACTTTATGCACTTTATTACACTCAGCTTTCAATGCATGTACAGACCACTTCTAACTTTGAGAAACACCAAAAGCCATATTGTGAAACTTATCATCCACAAGTTAGCAACTATTTAACTATTCACAGTCAAAGATGAGAAACTGAATGCCCAGAGAGATGAGCCTCACAATAGCCAGGATCTGATTCCCCAGTACATGAAGCATTTTTATAATGCCTTTTAAATTCAGATCATGCCAAGACGCTAAGACCTGTGCACTGCTCACTTATGGAAGTCCAGCCTAAGAACCATGTGTGGCATCCCAGAAAATGGGGGACTACACAATTATCTATTTAACTGCTAGGTTCTTGATTTTTTAAATGTAGGACTCA